TAATGTATGTCAGTGACTTTGCTACATAACCTAATAATAACTCGTTGAAAAATAAATGTCCCTCTCCTCTACAAAATTATGTCAAGTTATTCTCACATACCACAAGAATAACAGGATGTGATTTGAAAAAAATAAGGGGTGTGTCCTAAGAGGTGGTTTCTCGTGGGATTGTTTTAATAACTAATTTTATATCAGTCGTATAATTCCTCATATAATAGTTGATTTGACATTATCTAGTGCCAGGAAGAGAATATTTTTTTAATTATTGTTGATTCTACTCTCAAAATATGGGAGGATCGCACTTGAAGCGGGACACGTTAATAATAATAATAATATTTATTCACCATTCGAATCGAAAATTACAATTACAATAATTTTAGGTAACGATAAATAAATATGGAATTCCCACAGAAGGATATACCTGTGCGTGGGTTATAACATATATCGATTTGATTATAACATTACAATGAATATATTATGAAAGTAAAGTTTCGCTCATTATGAAAAAATAGAAAAGAAAAGAAAGAAGGAGAAGCACCCGAAGATCTATATATACATACATACACATACACACACACATACATATATATATATTCATATATCATATCAGAAATCACTTAGAGATAATTAGCAAAATATCGAAATAACGGATACAAATAGCATATATTTCAAACGAAATTGGAATAGGTATTTGCATCAGACATATACATCAATTAAACGAACAGAAAAATAAGAAGTATTGAACCATGGAGGTATTGAACTGCTGGTTATACATCAGTTCAGTAACATGTGAGTATGTTTACATCTATCTAATCTATACACGACTATTTATGTACTGTAGTGATATGTATTTTTCATATCGACATAATGGTGAATATGTACTCTGGGCAAATTCAGGATCCAAATTTTGAGTTTTTTTTTGAATAAATTATTACTAACGATAGCTTTGATGTCTGCTGGAATGATATTATACAGCCGAGGAGCTAAATAACTATAACACTTTTGTAAAGTGTTCTTCTGTGATTTTGGCACATAGGTTGAATTTATTTTGTGGCGAGTTGCATATTGGTGTTCAATTTTTTTGAGTTCATGTTTATTTTTGTGTTGCCTTATAACAGTTTTGAAAAAGTACAGTTGTCGTATGTCCAGAATTGATGTTTCTTTATATAGCGCTTCTGTAGGGTAAGTCCTTTTTTTATTAGTGATTATTTTCAAAGTCAATTTCTGCATTTGTTCTAGATTTTTTATATGAGAGGCATTTGCTGCTCCCCAGGCAACTATCCCATAGGAGAGGTGGGTTTCAAACAAAGTATAGTAGAGTATGCGCATCTGAGCTATATCTAGATAGGGTGTCATATATTTCATCCTGTATGTTACACTACGCAATTTTCGTATCAAATAATCAATATGTGCGTCCCATTTCAAGTGAGCGTCTATATATATGCCAAGATACTTTATTTTGTTTACTGGTGAGATAGCGAGATTTACGCTTTCATATTTTATGAGGAGTGATTTGAAACTTGGTAAGTTGTTAGCATATGATGTGAAAGTTATGTAAAATGTTTTGCTCATATTAATAGTCAGAAGTTTACTTTCAAACCATTGAATTATAGTTTTGAAATTTCTTTCAGCTTTTTCTTTTAGAGAGTTCCATGTTTCCGATTTATAAATAACAACTGTGTCATCTGCGAAGCTTATTATGTCCCCTTCCACTTCTAGTGTAAAAAGGTCATTTAAGTAGATGTTGAAGAGGATTGGACCCAGAACTGTCCCCTGGGGTACACCATATTGAACTCTTCGAGATTCACTGAAAATGTCTCCGATTTTAACAAATTGACTTCTTTCATTGAGATAACTACGAAGGAGTTGGTGGGATATTCCTCTGAATCCAATACTCTCAAGTACTTCTAGAAGCTGGTTATGGCTGACAGTATCGAATGCTTTCTTCAGGTCCACGAATATACATAGTGATGGTGATTTTTCGTCTATATATTTACCGATTTTGTTGGTGAGCAGTGTTATTGCATCTTCAGTTGACTTGCTTTTTTGAAATCCGAATTGATTTTTCGATAAAATATTATATTTTGTTAGGTAAGTTTCAATGCGTGATTTCAAAATGGTTTCGAATATTTTTGCAAAATTTGTAATTACAGATATTGGGCGGTAGTTGTCAACTTTGAGTTTATTACCAGACTTGAATATGAATTGATCAAAATCATAACTCTTTTGGAACGTTGACATTTTATTTTTGGCACTGGATGTTTCCACGTTATTAGCGTTATTGGCACGGCACTGTGTCCAGATAATTTACTGAACGTCCAACCAGGTATCGTAAAACTTTATTTGTCGTCGTACAGCCGCAGCCGTAAGACGAAAACCAACAGGAAAAAAATACCTACAGCTTTAATTGATGTCGATCCTTTATATGCCATTAAAACAATGAAATTTGTCTCTTCCAACGAAACGAGATTTGTCATTCTGTGATAACAGAATGAAAATCGACCTGAAGGATTGTTGGGTGATCTTGGCAGGTGGGTATAAAGGCGGCTACCTGAAGATTTTATGAATGGGATGCATCATAAATTATATTTGATTGGTTGTAAATTTAAATGTCTTTAGTATGTTGCACATATCTAGACACATTTCAGTCATTCGGTTGACACCATTCATGTTTCAATTGATTACTTGAGAGCTTCACAATACCAACAAAATTGATTAATAATATGCCCTAGTCTATGGAAAACTATAGAGCAAATTAGAATCGATTTCTGTATTGAAGTCCAATCATTGAAGTAATTTCGAAATGATGAAGGTATGTATTGTTTTTTTTGTTCGTCAAAAATCCTGAAAATGGACATCATTTGGGTCTAATCCTCATTTTATAGGATGAGAGTCCCCTCCTAAGTTCAAGGTATACCCACTAAACACTCCACCCTGTCTGACTGATGTCTCCCACGACACTTAGACCTAGTGGTCCATTCTATCTTACCGATATGCCGTTATCAATTTAACCATATACATGGTGCTCATCAAGGGCCACTTCAATATGAAAGAACCTTCTCGTTCAGGTTCTTGAAGATTACTCTTCCGATCCCTGTTCTCGTCTACGAAGAAGGCCAAAAGTTTTCCTTCTCCTCTTCTGAGATGTCGCCCTGTTACCCTGAGGCCTCGTTAGCGACACCATACCTTGGTGCCATTCAACCATGGCCAAGGGTTTCTACAGATTGGATTAGGTTGCAAGAGCCTCGTTGACCAGTCCTTGGCCACCTAGACAAGTATCAGCAAATCGCCCCATCTTTGCCACAGATGTCCACAAATAATTGTCCCATCTGGCCCGGAGATAGCAGAGATGGTCCCAAAATGCTTCAAAGGGAAGAGAGAAGAGGATATCACCCAAGACAAATTGAAGTCTGGTGAATATTCGGCTAGGGTACCTCGGGTTCACCATTCCCGTACTCACAAGTCGTGAGCCCCTGAGGGATTGTATTGTGTCAGTACCTAGTACATCTTCTCTGTTGGCCGTTTTGTTTCAAATTTTCTTATAAGAAACATTTCGAAAGTAAAGGTGGAGTCCATCAATATTTAAAGGAACCTAAAAATACTAGACGCAAAATCATGAAAGTATTTGAAACATAAGTAGAAAACATACACAGAGCTGTTTCAACATGGACATCCATTCAGATAATTCAAAGGCATGTGAATGATTTGATGAGTGTGTGTTGTGTTCGCTCCATGTTCCATAGTGTTCCAGTTCCCATAGCACAAAATATCTCACTTTTTTTTCAAATTATGGGTTCAAGGAAGAAATTGCTGTGTATTAACCATATAATGCGGTATTTTGAGTAGCGGCTCAACGAAATTACAAATTGAAATTTATTCAACAATATTATATTATTAGCATTGGCAAAAATCTCAACACGAAAACCACTCTCCCACAGTAAGTCTTCACAAAAACGAGTTCTTCTGTGGTATGGAAAAGTTAGATCAATTATTACGAACGAAATTGCTTTGAGAATGTTTCACAATATTTAATGATAGCGAGGAGCTTTTATTTTTTATTCACTCGATTAAATATATTTATACGAAATTGATTTTATTATTAACGGTCAGACAAAAAACATTAAATAGTCGTGTTACAGTTTTTATAGCCACACACAATCTAATTACTAAATAATAATATAGCTGCTTGAAAATACAGCGGTAATTTACATAATTCTTAGATTTTTGACATCTCTCATTTTTCACGAGTGATTCATCAATTATTGTAGTATTATAATCCGATATTACTTCCAGAATTTCTTAGAATAATTGTGCTTCATTTGCCAATCTCCACCGTTTGTTTTGATTTCTGCTACCTAATTTGGACCTTTCTGATGGTGAACTGATTTTGTTCTCTCAATCGCTCTGTACTAATGCATTTATTATTATTTTGCTCAGTATAAAATTCTTTCAATGCCTTGTGAACACTTGATGACGATATTTCAATATAGTTCATACAACGAAATGCTTATGCACTGTCTTGAACCATTGCGAGATGTAGAGGAGACGATGGAATAAGATGAAATGCTTACTGTCCTAATTTGGAATGACTTACTTTCTAAGTGCATTCGTTTTCGTAATAATAAGTTCAAAATGACAATCTGGAACACCGTGTAAACATAATGTTTCGACTTTCAGTAGGGAGAACCATTGCGAGATCGAGAGGAGGCGCGGAACAAGATGAAATGCTTACTGTCTTAATTTGAAATGACTTACTTCCTAAGTGCATTCGTTTTCGTAATAATAAGTTCAAAATGACAATCTGGAACACCGTGTAAACATAATGTTTCGACTTCGAGTACGAAGAACCATAGCGAGATTTAGAGGAGGCGATGGAACAAGATGAAATGCTTACTGTCCTGATTTGAAATGACTTACTTCCTGAGTGCATTCGTTTTCGTAATAATAAGTTCAAAATGACAATCTGGAACACCGTGTAAACATAATGTTTCGACTTCCAGTAGGGAGAACCATTGCGAGATCGAGAGGAGGCGACGGAACAAGATGACGGCCTACATCACGGAACTGTCAGACATGGTGCCGACTTGCAGCGCCCTCGCCAGGAAGCCGGACAAGCTCACCATACTGAGGATGGCGGTGGCGCACATGAAACAACTAAGGGGTGAGTTGGGATCGGAAATTTCGGCGGACGTTGAGAGGGAACAAAGATGGCATTCCTTGAAATAATGAAAATTCCATGTTGGTTACACAAAAAATACGGAGACCATTCAGATGACATCAAAATATTTATGGGGTTAGGGAAAGCAGGGGTCACAATTTCTATGATAAGTACGAGGATGAGTACCTAAATGAAAAACAAAATTGTTTGATCATTTTTTAATACAGAGGAGCGAACTCCACTTTTGATTCTTGTTATTGAGGGGCGGGGGAAATATTAAATTCTTAAATACACTTGGAAAAGGTGTGAAAAGATGCTGAAAAGTTTGTCGGTTATTCGATGGGTATAAAAATGCATTTTTTTTTTTAGTTTTTAAATTACATTCGAAATAGCAGATCAGCTTTGAATATTTCGACGGTATTCTCTAGTCGTTTTGCATGTGTATACAAGGTGAAACTCGATATTTCAGTTCTGTTATGAGAAAATCAAGAAAAACGATAGAAAAAATCGGAAATGAGGCTTTTTAATGTGATTGACTAGGTTCTATTTCAAGCTGAATTTGCATATTCTCTGATAATTAATTGACAGCTGATGTAATGACGTCATCGAATTATTTCTTCTCAGAAACAATTTTAGTACATTTAAAAAGTGTGCATGTTTCTGAAAAACAGATGTTTGTAAAAAACTTTGCTGTCTTCTTCCATTAAAAAATTATAATAATATGACTCCATTTCGAAATGCTTTTCTTCATTTCCTTTTTCTCTGTTTTCTTTTTGTCACTTTCCGTTTTCGCTAAATTTGTTCAGAAAAATGGGCTCTTTTCAAATATGCCGAAAAATAGTTATGTTTCCGGTAAAAAGAATTAATGATGTCCTTAATTCAGTTTTCAAATATGGTAAAACAAACAAATTTAGTTCAAAATCGTTAAAAATAAACCTGACGAATCCCTTTCGAGAAACTTTTCAAATTTTGTCTATATATCGCTTTCCCATTTTTTTCAGTGCTGGAACTTCGAGTTTCACTCACCCTGTTGCTAAATATAGCTTTCATGTTTTCAAAATAGCTCATATTCCTTTTTCTGTTGGTATGACGATATTTTCTGGTTTTATTTAGGGCAGCCTATATCCGGTTACAAATTATTGTTATTCCCATAAATAATGTCTGGAATCACATAAGTGTTCATGAATTGGTATACATGTACCTTTAGGTAACTCGAGATGTTTTTTTTTCTCCAAAGGAACACCATAATTAGCTGTGCCTTGAAAATTCTAATAAATCATTTTCAGTCTAGTTGCCTGCGAAAATAATCGCACCGCATAATAATAACAACATTGGTTCTCGCGTCCGAGTACTTATTTAAAGTTAATGCATCGACAAAGACCAAACTGATAAAAGTTCTCAACTTGGCTCAAACAGTTCCCCGCCCTCATCCATTTCGTAAAGCACATAAAACCAATTTTGGATAGAAGATCCTCTGAGAAGATACGAGTACTTCGCAAGTACAGGGTGGCCCAAACCCAATCAAATCTCCCGGCTAGCATTAAATAAATTCAAAACTGATTAACTTTGAGTAATGGATTTAAAAGAAAAATTGAATATTGAAGAATTCAGGTGGTCCGTCTGAGTTTGGACGTTCAAGACGTTCTGAGAACTTGTTGAAAACTTTTCGATCAGGACATCCATTTTCATTACTTGCGGAATGTATATACGGGAAAAAAGTAATCAAGCAAATAAAAGTATCATTTGGGCACGACAAAATTTAATCTTGAAATGATAACAATTATTATCTTCGTCCATTGCGACTTTGAAATTTAAACCCCAAGTACTTAGATATTTCTTGCGTAAACTCTGGATTTTAGTAAATCACACATTGATGAATTGTCTAGAAAAAGATGTTGACTTGGCTTCAATAATCATTTTGTTTGATTCAAAATAACAAGATATTGATTCAATTAAATATTGCGTTAATCCAATGACATATGTCTACTATGTAAAACAACTTTTTTCGTCGAAATGAATAGGTATCTGCGAGGGTATCTGGTTGATACAACAAGAATTTTCTCAATCCAACTAAAATATTTCAAACACAAATAATTTGCCGACGCAAAAAATCCTTTTAGCCATTAATGTTGAGTTTTGGAGACTGTGGTCGAATACCTACAAAATATACCCAAAATTTTAAATTGATGTTTATAAAAGCCCATATACTTCCTCAGTAGAACTGACGAAAAAATGAAAATAAGCTGACTTTCGAGATATATTCCAGAAATTACATGATTAACCAGCTTATCTTCATTCCCTTTTCAGTTCAACTGAAGATAGAAACTCCGTTGCCGAAATACGTATACCCTCCTGGGACCCGAAGCTCGAAATATCACAATTTCAACATGTTATTGAATTTCTCTGCAAGTTATTAGTTGAGAACCATGACTAATTTTCCTACAAATCAAGCTTCTTTGTGTTTTTTGTTTTCAATATTGTGTTGAAACCGAGGTTGAAACGAAGGTTGCGCAATTTCAGCATTGAAAAATGAAATAAGGAGAATTACATTTTTTACGAAATTTTTTTTTTCCAAAAAATCAAAAATATCATCATATATAGTCTTTTGTGTTCGTTATTTCTACATCTACGCATAGAGAGGCGGAGAGTTCGTTTTTTTATATATAGTGAAGAACTTTGGTACTACTTCAATCGTTTTAAACATGAAATACTCCAGGATAATTTGTGGCCGGAGTGCAAAGCGCTATGCAGGAAGCTATGTCTAAATTCGGGTAAACGTTCATAGAGATTGATTCCTCGAAAACGTAGAAGTATCCAATGATGATGAAGATGTTTTACCGTCCGAGAAGAAACGTTTGGATATGGAGATTTGTTGCTAGATTTTGAGAAAAGAAGATAACGTAACCTTATTAGTTTGTTGTATCCACGATTACCAAAGCGAATGCTGGCCCCTAGGCCTCGGCCTATACGGCCAATTGGCAAACCCAATTCTGGTGAAACTGGAAATGCTTGAACAAAAATTGTTCTGTCAATTAATGAGCAATTTGGTATACTTGCCACCACACCAATTTTCAAAAACCAGAAATTACAGCCCCGGCCGTTTCCTCTGCACTTTGTATTTGGCATTTGGTTTGTTTTTTCCGTGTAAGAAGGATAACTTCTGGATCGGTCGCCCTGTAGGGTCTCGTTGTTTTACAAGACGAAACTATGCCGAAGATAACAGGTTTCAGTATCCCATGCGCTATCGGAGCATGCAGCGAGCAAAAAAAAAAAAAAATAAAATGTAACACAGTTTGGCGGAAACGCATCGCGCCGGGTTCAAATAATAAGGGCATTAATCCTGGTTAGCGAAGAGTAGGCATTCTGTGGCCCATAACTAACGTTGAGATAGCATCGTTTTGTGCACGATGCCAGACCCGTTACGATATACTCCGAACAACTGAACATCGCACACACACATATATTTATATATACAGGGTGTAGTTTAATAAGTCAGAAACATTTCATATTTTAACGAAAAAAGTTCGTATAGGCAGGTGTCCTAAGTTGGTAGTATCAATTGTTTTCTTTATGATCCCTCTCATGAGCATGGTGGCAAAATTCAGTCTGCTTGGTGACTGTCATGGGCTCAAAATTTCAGGATGGTACCTTTTTGAGGTTAATGAGAAATCTTAAATGGGTGTCTTGAAAGCTAGTGAATTTTTCTTTCGAACTCTCTGATAGGATAATTCTTTAAACGCAGTGACATTTTGGGGCAAATCATCTGATTTGTCCTTACTACTACACGTATATTGAAATAATATTCATATTTTTATTTTATAGAAACGAGGAGAGAAAATCCCAAAAAATCTGGAATAGTGAATGTCTTGAAATCACCTATATTGGAATCTGGAGTCAAATCGATGTTTCATTGTTTCCTAAGGGAAATACAAAAGTATACCGCAATATGTCTTATTTTCGATTGTTCAATCTAATTAAAATATAAAACTCTGATACTGTAACGCCACTGCAATTATTATTTACAATCTAATCACTCCAAAAGAAGATCCATATTATTCTTAACGGAACGACGAAGTTTCATAGAAATTGATTTGAGAGTAATTGATAAAGAATGCTTTTTTGAAAACATCGAAACCCGGTATATCTCTGAAACGAAAACGTTAGGACAAAAATGTTTGGATGCACTTTTTTTCATAATATATGACAAAGGATTACCTACATTCTTCCGCACTTATTCATCAACATCCTGTATATAACACAAAAGGTTGCGAACATGAAGCACGAATCGAAAAAAAAAACAAAAACTGAATCTCGATAGCCATATTTCTTTCAGGTGCATTTTTTTTGTATTTCTCTACTTTAAAGTTGGCCACCAACTCCTCAAGAATCGAATTGTGCAGGGTTGAGACAAAATGAGGCAAAGGCCCATTCTAATTTTCTCATTTATGTTGGCTGATTATTTTTTTCTTTACAAGGTATACATACCTATACTACTCGAGAAGCTCTTTCTCCTCGTCTTTCTCATTGCAATTTTAGAAAAATATTACGTCATAAGTAACCCTGTACATTTATTTTCAACAGAAAATGAGTTATTTTAGTCATAGTATGCAAAACAACTAATGAAATAATAATTAAGGAAAGGGCGATTTTGATTTTTCATTCTAAAGCAAATAGTGAGAATTAAAGAGGTTGATAATAATTTTCCAATTGTTTCCGAAAACTTCATACTCATTATAATGTTACCTTGACCACTATGACTAAAATTGTGATATAAGCATCCAATATATCCATAATGTAATATATCCAAAATGAGTTGCGATTCGTCATATCAGGAACGTGACAACTAGTCGGAGAATATTTTTTTTATAAAAATTGTTGAATTTGTTTCCCATAAGCATCGTTTCTTCTGTACTATAATTTGGTTAGATACTCAAAGTAGTTCGATCATATTTTGATAGATGACTTTGGCATTATTTCAAGTGGTGAAAAAATCCGGAAGCAGA